ACCAGAATATAAAATATTAAAGGTATAGGTACTAAACTGAACTTTATCGTTTGGATCTAATGGATTGGTTTAGTAAGATATTTTAGTGGGATGGATTAGATTGAATTTATGGATTTGGATACTAATTACAACCTCTATCTACAACGCATTTCCTCTATTATACGCGATAGATATGTTGAAACCACGATAAAAGTACGGGACATGATTCGGATGTTAATTTGAAAATTATTGTCCAAATTACACGTATAGTTGATTGAATATACTTATGGGCTCGATTGGACTCTGAGCTCCTTCTCGGCCTAGCAAGGTTCCCCCGACATCAATTCGCAAGACAAGGAACACTCCACTTAACTCTTTTGTCTTTTCACATTTTTATATGGGATTCTTCAATAATCCAAAATCTCATTTTATATATATGGACTATGGTTGTATACATATGAAAAATGGCATTTTACACCAGACATAATAATATGCATAGGTATTCGAACCTATACGTTAAATGGTTACTTGAGCTACAAATGTTTGTAACTAATAGAAGGAAAAAAAAAAGTCAATATTCCAATTTTAGGACACGAATCCTAAAAATCCTACAAGACAAATGTATTTTAAACAAGTAGCTAGGACTGTGTGGTAGTGGGCAGGTGATGTGTGACGGGGAGGAATGGATTAGCTGTATTATGGTAACACTTGTGGTTGGTGGCAGAAGCAAAGCTTTTATTTTATGGCTGGCCTGGGTAGCTACTGTATGCATATATATGTCTATTTCTCCCCCAATTTGTGTTGGTTGTGTGTGTGTGTTTTAAATAATAATAATAATAATAATAATAATTGTGGTGGTGGTAGGCGGAGGACGGGGATGAGAAATGTGAAACGCGGTCATCCATTCCTCCGCTCCCCAAGTCAAATGGTGCCCAAACCAAACCAAACCAACCAAAACTCCATCTCCTACCAACCTCATCCCAATCCCCATTCCTCCCACCACACCAGAAAGAAACCACCACTCACCCTTTTCAGAATTTTTTTTTATTTTGTACGTATTAATCTGCATTTACTTCAATTTCTTTTCCAGCAAAAAAAAAAAACCCACTGACTTTAATAAGCTATGAATGAAGGTTTTGAAATATGTTGCTCGATTTCCTCTGTTAAAATGATTTTTCTCCATTGCAATTCAAATTATCTTTTATGTGTGAAGCAGCTAATCATAGTTTTTCTTATTCCTAAACACCTTTATGAGATATATAGCCTATGTTTGGCCCGGCTTTTAGAAGTGCTTTTCGGCTTCAAAAGCTGAAGCAGGGCCAAACACCTCTAAAAGCTCGGCTTTTGAAAAGCTGAAAAGTGCTTTTGTATAACATAAAAGCAGAAGCTCCGATTTGGAGCTTCTGCGAAAAGCTGTTCTGAAAATACAAGATTATCCTTACCATATTTTAATCTTATTTCAGAAAATATAATTTTATTTCATTTCAATCATTATAAAAATAAAATAAATTATAAAATCATATTATTTAATATAAAAGAAATCTAACAAGATCCATATTGACTACTTTTTATTGTTTATAATTTTTATTCATATTTTATATTTTAAATCCTTTATAGTCATTTTACATAACCTCTCATATTAAAAAGCACTTCTAATAGTTTTTCAGCCAAACACTCAACTGCTTTTTTTGAAAAGTACTTCTCTAAAAGCTACAGCCAGAAGCTGCTTCTGCAAAAGCTACAACAGGGCCAAACTGAGCTATAGTCCCTGGACTCGGAGATATTAGCGGACGAATTTAATTTTCCTCGTTACTTAATTAAATGACACATGTTTTTTTAATATAAAGCAATTTGACCGGATACATAGACTGATAGACATCGTTCGGTATTTAATTTCTTTCGATGACAGCAAGTAAATATTTCCATTATCAATATGTTCTCTTTGGCCCTAGGCCATCTTGTTTCTCCAAAATCCAAATGATGGTTGGCACGCAATTTCATTGTTAATATGTTCCCTAGATCAGTGATATTATTTTTGGCAAACTTTTTATTTTTTTTGTGATGTGTTTGTTCACCTCTATTCCGACTAACGGAATAGTCTAAGAAAATAGTTAACGAAAAAATTCATTTTTCGCGACAGTGAAGCGTTTGAGAGAACATTGGCCACCGGAGGTTGCCGAGCTGCAGGCGATTTGTTTTGGGCCGGAGATGGCGGAGAGACCAGTTTTTTGCCCGGAGAAGTGGAATCAGATTGCTTGAGAGCAGTAAATCCGGTTTCACGAGAGGATAGGACGTCGGTGATAGAGGATGGAGATTTGAGTGAGGAAATCAAGGAATTGATTGGCCCGGTTTCGGTTCATCTCTCGGATCGAGCCAATAACTAGGCATCACATTTTATGGCACATACTAATTGTGATTGGGCTCAGACTGAGAGTTGTTTTCCTTGTTTCGTCTTAATTATATAGTACAAGTGTTTTATAAAAAAAATGCGGGTATGTATATTAATGTTGTCAATCCGGTTTAGCCCGTCGGTCCAGACGAAAAGTGAATTGAGTGTTAGTGGTCCAACCGTTTTAGCTCGCTTTAGACAGATATATGAAAAAAATTCTCAATATAGTTCGCACGTTTATAAATTATATCAAATTTCATATAACATTACACTAAAACAACAAGTCGTACTTGGATATAACATGTTATGAAAATCCCCACGCACTTATATAGCATTAATATTCAAATGTTCAACTTAGAATCCAAATAAAGGGTTATATGAGAGGAGGAAAATCGAAAAGAGGCAAATTTCACAAAGCAAAGTGAAAAATGACATCGAGTAACCTCCAACCCGATAACCTTGCAACGGGTCAATCTGACGGGGGAGTAAAAATGGACCAACCGATAGATCAACTCTCACTTTGACAACAAGCATACGCGCAGCACAATTGGCATGCATCCTCATCAGAGCGACTGGTTCCTTTTTGTACACCTTCAAGTTGCTAGTTAGATTTATACCCATTTAAGTTCCACCAACCTAAATATATAAACATTTTAAATTAACAATAAATAAAAACAATCGTCAAACGAGGGACGAAAATAGTTGGTGTAGGTCAAATGTGGCCACATTTCAATCTCTAATCATTGAATTAGTTAATGATAAAAAAAATTCTGGGTAGATGCTGATTGTGGTTGGTAAGCAACAAGTGACGAGCTGGTAGCCATATGGGAATATAATAGTTAATTAATTAATTAAATCAATTAGTAACTCGATCAATCTAACAGTTGATTTCGTACGTAGCAGCAGCTGAAGTTTTGGTGCAACTTCCTCGCAATATGAAGAGTGGCCTAGTGGGAATGCTTTCTGCAATTCTGCTACAGGCCAAAAACCAGGACGCGCAAGGAGCAAACCAAAAGCCAAAGAAGAACGAGTTGCAAAAAGCATATAAAAGAAAAGAAGACACTAGTAGCGCGAGCTCAATGCTTGGTCAAACCTCGTGTTCTTTTAATTTAACGTATTTCATTTATTATTATTATTCTATTGTGGACGGCTCTCTACTCTATTTACGTAAACATTTATTTATTGTACTTTTTTGTATCTTTTAAAATGACTTGGCTTTGACCAAACTTACCTACTAGTAGTCTTGACTTGAAACGAGAATGATAACACACCCCTTTCTGTCAGTACTCAGTGGTCATGTTTGACTAAATAAACATGTAATGTTTATATACTAATTTTGCTTTGCTGGCTGGGGGCTGGCTACATCTTTGGATCTGATGGAAAACTAGTGTAGTGGTGTACGATTAATTCGTTAAATAACTCCCTTCCTTTATACACGATTTTTTATCTTGTTGAATCAGTTTCCTCCTTTTATTAAAGTAAAGACGGGCAAGTGATCAAAGTAATCACTTCTGATACAACGAACTAGAAAGATCCCTAAAGAAGGACTAACCACTCATACTCACAAAGTTCTAACCACATCTACCACCCTTCAATTCACAAAGACACAAAACCAAGGCTAACACAAATCATCTAATAAATCTGGAATGACTCCTACAGAAAACCGTACATCATTCAACCATAAGTCACTCACAACTTCAGCACTTCTTGGATTCTCTCCATGGCACCTTCGACAACTCTCCTGTCAGATGAAAGAGATCAAAGAACACCACATTAAGGCAATCGTTCGATCCCTTGCATTATTCCCGTCAATTTTTATATACATATTTATTAACTTAATAATAAGTTACATTTTGATAAACAAATCAAACAAACACACAAATACATAATAATTTTTTTTTGTCAATTAAAAGATATAAAATGAAAACAGAGAGTGGCATGTATTGCATTTTTTAAACCGAATATATCTTTTTAAATCTTATCAAGTAAATTTTCTACTCATTTTTAACTAAAAATTAATTACGGTTAAAGTCATAATCAACCAATACGATAACGATTAATTTGAAATAATGAATACCTATTTTAGAAGACCCCAGATTATTTAAAAAAAAATAAGAAATTGATCAACATAAAGTAAACGAAAATTCATCTGACCAATGAACCGGGTATAAGCTAGTTAGGTTAGTATAGGTATTACTTTGTAATTATGATTTATGATAAGTTAGTCCTAGATTAGTTTTACTTTATCGCTCTTTCACTCTCTTCTCTGTATTAACTCGGTATAAAGCATATTAAGATTAGCCGAGAACCTAACCTTTTCCAATTGATTTCACCCTAGAAATAACACAAAACTTGTTCAATATTCTTTGTTTCATTACCAAACAATTGTTGTGCACAGTCAACAGTCCACACAAGATACGAGGAAAAGTTATTAGGTGTGATGTGTTCGTATCATGCACACATCATAATAATCTACTTACAATTCTAACAATTAAGTACACGTTGCACATATTTACAAGAAAGAACAAGATAAAAGAAAATTTTCCCTGAGATCTCAACTTGTAACACTTTCCTCCGTGGCAGTGAAGTAAATTTCTTGGCAAACTTGGTGTCGAGTAGGAGGAGCTTTGATTCAAGGTTTGGGCAAGGGAGGCGGAGCTGGAACTCCGTAGGTTTGAGCTTGGGATCGGCCTCTTGACCTTCCGAAAAGGTAACACGCCACCCCCACTATTAATATGAACAGTACCATTGGCACCGATATCACCAACACGTAACCCATTTTCTCTCCTAATCAAACTCTCAACTGGGCCCTTTGCTTAGCATACAAAAACCTGCAGTTATACCAACACGGCCCATCCCTCATCAGAATAATGGGCCGCCGTCGAGCCCATTTAATGAAAATCTCAGAAACCGAGACCAGAGAGAGAGAGAGATGGATGGATTTGTTGAAGGAGAAAAGAGATGCGTTTGTAGATCATCAATTTGAGCTGTAAACTTATGGTTAGACAGACTACGCTAATAATTGATTGAATTGAAAGCCCCAACTATAGTTAAAAGGATCATAGAGAGAAGTTATACGCGGAGCGGACTCACCTAATCCAAAGGTTATTCAGAAAATTTCGAAGAATCGACGGCGACCGACGAGAGAAGCGGCGGTTGGACGGCAAAACGGCGGGGGTAACCACCAGCTGCTAGCACCAGCACAACCACCGGCACAGCCACGATGTGCGGATCTGGTCTAGGAATTTGCAGGTACGGCAAGGAGAAAGGATAGCTATCTTAATAATAAAGTAATAATTTGTTTATGAAGATGCTTACTTTTTAATGTAAGGATGGGGATTGTTGTGGCAGGAAGATAGAGTAGACGCGCGCGGCAGCATGTCGTTCGTTCATCTCACTTGGTCACTTCACTTATGTCGCCAACTCCCACATCGACGCCACGCCACTACACGTGCGTCCTTTCCACGACGCTCTCGTTGGAATCTCATCCCAATTTGGTTTTGGTAAGTCACAAGAATCACGACCGGTTTATACAGATGTGTCGGTTTGACAAATGTATGTTTCAATCGGTTTATACTAGAACAAGTCGGTTTTAGAAGAAATTTTTTTTTTAAAATCGTTAACATTAAATGAATTTAGACATACATTGAAAATATTTGAATACAATATCTCTAAAATCTATATTCATATTTCATACTGATAGAATAAATTCAAAACAAAATGACAAAATCCTCAAATTCAAATACAACATTTGTGTCAAACATCCAAACGTTTATGCTTTGTATCCAGCAATTTGTATCCAGCAAATAATATAGGGTAATGTTTATTTTTTTATATTTTTTTATATTATCCAAATCTATTAAAAGGAAGAAATTAAAGGAACAGATAAATGGGTATGTTTCGCAGCTTCACCAAACTACTACTCCTATTAAGATATTGGGAAATCGCCAAAAGCAACAGAAACTGGGAAATGATTTGTTTGGCTTGCACCCAGATCTTTTCATAACTTTGTTTTCCTGCCGCTGCCTGCTATTTTACATTCATTATCCATCCCCAAGCAGAAGTAGATGTAGAAGTAGAACAAGTAGCGTTAAGCTGTCGTCTGTTGGTAAAAATCCTATGTATATGCAACATAAAGGGGGCAAGCACCCACCCAACGTTTCCCTGCTCTTTAACATATTTTCTCCCCCCTTTTGTTACAAGTGAGAGATCAGAGAGAAAACCAGTAACAGAAAATGCCCCCCTCGATTCACATTCTTCGCTTAATCAGCATCTCTTCAGTTAACTAACCCCACCACCAAATTTTAACATATTGCATCATCCATCTTACTTGCTCTTTCACTTCCCGACGGGCTTGTTGGACAGCCGCCGCTTGTACCGTTTCAGGACGGATGCCAGGTTCTCTTTACCCTTGGGGAAAGCCACATCCCCTGCAGCTGTCCCTGATCGACCCTTCCTGCATGAAATGGCGATCTCCACATCCTTGATCAAGTCCAACACCATGGCTGCTGTCGTGCATTTCCCACCTCTACCTGGTTTCGCCGTAGGAGGCAGCATCCCATTTGGTTGAGGCGACGACAGTCTCTGCTGGTGCGCTGCTGAGAGTTGCAGGCAGAAGCATGGCTGCATGGGAGTTCGCGGTCTCATGAATGCTGGCTCCACAACCCCCTGTATCAGAAAGAAAGGAACAAAAGCAGCACATTGCTGCTGCCTTTAATACCCTACCAATCACCAGAAGTTCTTTTTTTTCTAAGAAACAACAAGTAATAAATGTTAGTGACCTAGATGCCGCAATAATAAAAAGTCACCCTCATTCAGAAAAGACTTCCAACTTTGGCCTCTTCAAAAGACAAATATTTCTTCCTAATGTTACCTTAAGCTTCTGCTGACTGTTGCTACATTAGTCAACTATTAGAACATTGGTATTTTTACGCTGTAAATGTTAGTCAACTATCCAATGTACACCTACATGGATTGCTTTGTTGATATCAGTTGATCGAACACATGGTTGAGTAGCTCCACACCCACACATGACACATCATTACCACTTCAGTAAATTCATGATTTTGCTCCTATAAATTCACACTCCAAGTTTGCATTTCTACCTATAGAGAGTGTTAAGAAGGTCTCGGAGAGAAGGGGGGGGGGGGGGGGGGGGGGGGGGGGGGGAACTAACCTGAAGGCGATTGAGCACATAAGTGTATTTCCCCCAAAGCTCAGGCCGGCTTTCCATGAGCGATAGATCAAGAACCCGGTGAATGCACCAAACCCCAAAGCTCACGATCAAATCAACCTTCCACACACAGCCTTCTCCACAGTGAGGAACTGAGGAAACCAAGATGTTGGCGATGCTATTGGCCTCGTCATTCTTCTGCCCAGAACCACCACCTTGCTGCTTCTTATCACTACTGCTTTGAGACTCAATGCCCAGGTGGTGGACCACCCCATGCTGCCCCATCTCTCTTGCTTCAGCTTCGTACAAACACCTCTCCCGTGCTGCCACACGGTCAATCAAGTCCTCGTCAGCACCATCGTTTTGCCTAAACAACCAATCAGAGCCTTCTAATTTCAGCAGCTTTACAATGCAGCATCTGAAGGACCGAAGAAGTTGAGCTTCAGCATCCACTATGGAGCTACTAGCTTCACGATGGGTAGTTGAGTTAGGCCTGTTGCTTCCTCCTCCTAAGGCACTACCCACACCTACTGCACGGCTTTTATCCCCCACACCAAACTGCTCAAACGGCTGTTTTGACCAAAGAGATCCTCCTGTACTTGGTGCAGTGGTGGTGGGAAAGGAGAAAGCATCTCCATAAAAGGAAGGGTCATAACTCGTTCTCCCCCCTAAGGAGGAGCCAAAACCACCAGCAGAATTCTTGTCCCACTGAGCATTACTCTTCCCGGATAGATATAGCTCCCTGTAAGGGGCAGCAATTCCTGAAATGTCGGGCAAACTGTGGTACTTCTTTGTACTAGTACCCGTTGGTCCTCCTGCATTGTCAACAACAGAAACAGGAGAGCCAACAACATCATAGTATTGTCTTTCAGACTGTAACGAGTTGTTTCTGGATGAGGCAAGGTTCTGATATCCTGCTGTTGCCTGTTGTGGAGAGCTTAATCCATTCTGTAATCTCTGACCCAAGGCAATTGCTGCATGTGGATCCCTGTAGTTCCGCATGCTGCTCATGGATGAAGAAATTGGAGAGAGAGATTCCATTCTACCATTCAAGCCATTAGCACTCCTCTCCTTGGCAATCCGGTTCGCAATGGAAGCAATCTGATAACCATGTATGGTAGCTGGCTGGTTGTCCCAGCCATCAGAAGACGGTGGTAGCGACCGCATACTAGAATATCGTCTTTCAGAAGGGTCCACCACACCTGAGTTAGGTGGTGCTGGTACATATGAATCCAGCAGCTGACTGCGGTTGGGCCATAATGAGGAGGAAGATACTCTTTGAGCCCCACCAGCATATGAAGAACATTCAAGAGTGTTCTGCTGCATCATAAGCTGCTGCTGCTGCCTGGGAGAATCACAGAAACTTGAATTCATGAAAGAATCCGGTGATCCTCTACCACTGGCCAATGCTGATGGATTATACCCACTACTGTATTCTTTTCCAAGGGGAGGGTCGACTTTCAGGAAGGAAAATGATGAAATCTTTGAAGAATCAGCAGCAAGTAGCAGATCAATCCTTCTATTCTTGGCATCCTGTGTTGCTTGACCATGGAAATCATACAACTGCCCCCAGAATTCATCAAGAACCGTAGCTAATTGACGCCTAGCAGCTCTGCCCAACCCTGCCAGTCTCGAAAGACTTCCAGCACCATTCCCACCGTCATCAGATTTTCCACTGAGACTTCTGAAAGAAGCTGGACCATCAGAGGTCAAAGATGAGATGCTCCCAGGAACACCTTTGGATGATGAATCTTCAGGTTCCCCCCAGGTATCTCCCTCGTCATCCTCTTTTTCTCCGAGGAAATCACCTTCCACACTCACAGTCTTCTCAACTGGTTCAAGTGATTCAACAACCTTCATCTTTGACTCATGTAAATAATCAAGATCAGCAGCAACAACTACATTAGCTGATGCCTTGGACACTGATGTCAATTCTGTTGAAGGTGCTGATTCCTGATTCAGTTTCAGAGGGCAAGGAAAATTCATATCAGGCTGATTCTCTTCAATAGGTGTCAAATGAAAATCCTCATGAGACTCCATAATAGTTTCAGGCAGATAGGGATCAGGATTTAAGACACTTCTGTCTGAGTAGCCCACAAAGGACTTCACTGGGGTTGGTGCAGCAGCTTCCTGTCTATGAACGTGGCCTTCTCCATACCTACTACCACCCAGATACTTTTCATCTCTAATACGCATCGATGGCTCCTGCACAGTCTGCTTGGCATCCCAGCTCAATGCTTGAGCAGCCTCTACCTGAGTTGTTGCAGATTTCAAAGGTGTTGCTGCTAGCCAAAGCATCAAACAGAATGATGAAAAAGAAGTTGCGAGAAGTACAACATAAGGAAGAGAAGAACTGCTACCCATGTTCCATCTCAAATTACCAATCCAGTCACTATCCCCGAAAATCATTTCCACCACAAATATGATCTTCAATCCTAGCATCCCCATGAATGCAACAATTGCCAAGAACTCAAGAAATTGAGAGATTTTGTGTGCTCCCATTATTGCCCTTGATGAAACAATTCGGAATAGTGGTATAACAGAAGCTGGTAGCAGCAGGGCTACTATAACCTGAGAAAATATGAGCAATTGGTATGCCCCTTCAACTCCAGAAGTCCATACACAATAAAGGGCCGGGACAATGGCAAGAATTCTAGTAGTAGCTCGCTGTAACCAGTTAGGTATATCGAGGCTGAGGAAATCATTCAGAACTACTTGCCCACCAATGTTCCAAGTTAATGCTGAGATTTGATTTGAAAGGTATAAAATTACTACAAAGAACAGAGGTGCCACTGGATTGCGAAACACCTACACAGTACATTTGAAGAATAATCTGTCAGATTGCATGTCGACTTCATGCGGAAATATAATACTAGTCCACCACTGAAAGTATCATCATTTGGATACACGATGATGATAATACATTAAATAAGAGTTTTCTACCTGTTCCATGAGTGACATTGCATCCGGAAAGGTAACCAAAACAAGGCCAGTACTGTGGAACACGTTCGCAGCTGAATTCATAAGCACATAGTTCACCAGAAAAATGCCACTGAAGATGCATAAGATTGCGAAAAAATTGTCATAGCATGAGGCACTTTTGGAAACATTTGGAGATTTCTGATGATGCTGCAAGAAGTTTCAAATATAGATTTCAGAGTTAATAAACCACGTATAATATAAAAATTTGCAGTGAAGCAATCAAAATGATAATATGAGAGAGCAGAGAGAATCACATGACATCTAGGATCAAGATTTCACGAAAAATAACCACAGAATCTGACTTAGCAAACAACCCAGCTTTCTTTCTGGGTGAGATGGGCGTCATTCAGCGCAACATCATAGTAGTATTACATCACTCACACACACAAAAAAAGATAAATAAAGAGGAGTGGAACAAATACCAGAACGATGGAAGAATGCATATAGAAGTTGTGAGGCATAATGCTTGCTCCAAGAAGACTCATCAGAGCGAATGCACTTTCCTCACTTAACTTCATCGGCATCCCATTCATTGAAAGAGAAACCTCTGGTTGACTAATGAGGACCCCAAGAAAATAGAAGAGCAACACAAACCCTGCCACAAATATGGATGGGAAATATCCCTTGTATTTCTCCTACAAGTATAAAGTAGAGAACAAAGTCAGATTCATATCCAACAGAAGATGACAGGGTAAAATTGTGCATGACTCACCAGAATGGCAGCAAAAAATGGAAACAACACAGCATCAACAGCAGTTAAGAAGATACATGTTGGCAAGTCCACCCCAAGAAGAAGATTAAGCCCATGAGCAATGCCAAGTATCTGGAAAAAAATAGTATATCCAATCATTAGAACGAAGCTCAACTAATCAAATGGAAAGAATCAGCAGTGTCATTATTTTAACAGTCATATCTTCAGAAGAAGCACTACAACATGCATTTTAACAAAGAATAAGAAAGACTACCATGCTGAGGTCCAATGCCGCCACTGAAATTGCTGTTTGAACTCCTAGGAACATGCATGTGAATTTGTTATACTCCTCACTGCAAATCTACAGCATTGGGAAAGGGAAAAAGAAGGTTTAACTTTAGTACGCGCAAGTATTACAAATTATCGAATTGAAGAGATAGCCAATCATCCAGATAACAAGGAGCTATTAAGGTCCAGAAGACATGAATATGTATATATCCTGATACCATGTATCCCATTCACCGCCAGGGTTTATCAAATGTACAGGAAGGAGGCACATCTCAATATCACTCCGCACAGTGAAATCAAATGACAGTGAAATTAATAAAATTATAAACTAGGGAAAGAAACTCTAAATAGAAATTGTACCTGGGCAAGATCTCTACCAGTAATAATACCCACTTTAGCTGATAGATACTGGCACAATATTCCTGCCAAATTAAAAATGAACATTGGCAGGAGTAGATCAACTCCAAAACGGGAACCCCCTTCCACGGTGGCTGCCCACTTCCCAGGGTCAACATATGCTACTGAAATTAAAAGCCCAGGTCCAACAGCAGGAAGTAACCGCCGAAGAACAGCTGGTAGGTGGTTAGCACTCCCCGACTGTCTTTCCATTATATTGAACAGCTCTGCCACTAATGCAACTCACGGCTATAGTATTACGCTAGCACGTCAAAGGAAAAGCTCCACTTGCGATCTAATCATTCAAAAAACAATCTTCTGTGACTTAACCAGGTGAACGCACTTTACAGAGTGCACCCCAAGCACTACTTCACTGTCTTCAAATACTTGATATACACACATATACAGGAGGCAATAGCATGTTTGCAGCTGAATTAGGCCAAAAATAACCCTGATGAGATCGCCTCATCTGATATTTGTAGGATGATGTCATCAAGCAACTCTTTTCACTAGCTGTGATCATCCGACACAAGGCGAAAGGTTTTATTTAGAATAACTTGAATGCTCCCACAGCAAGATGTTGAATGAAATCTTCTGCTCATCTCCAGATCATGACAAAAAGTTGCAATCCAACTTGAGAGAAATTCTGGCACTGATAAGGAGGAAATTTTCAACCCTTTAACATCTATTCCTGGTGCACTAAGAAAAACATAAAGAAATAAGTAACCTTCACATGACAGCAAAGAAGATGTTTCCAGAAAAATCAAAGCACCAACAGATGTGGATCATAATATTGATTATACACCAGAGATCTTAAGATCACTCAGTACAAGATGTGAATCAACAATATAAGAAATAAGTAGCTAATCTCATAAGGGGATCAGGTAATGGCGGACAGTAGAAATGAGCTTTGACTTCAAACTAGTCCACAGCAAAGTGCAATGTAAGAGTCACCGGAGAAACGAAAGAACTAGTCGAAAGACCACCGTATACAAACACAAGATCACGGCATTCTACAGTTAAGTTCTATTCACATTGATTATAAGAAGAAGAAGAAAAACCAACTGACTCAACAGAAAAAAGTTCTACAACACTCGTAAAACAATCAGCTCACTTTGAAAGGCGCCTTTCATCAACTCCAACAAATCAGGAAAAGATAAAAAAACGATTCCCAAACCAAGCAGCCATAAAATCCAACAGCTAAGCATAAGAAAGAAACCCTATTGACCAACAAAACAAAGCAGCCAGAATGTCAAAACCATCTCAGATCTCACCAATTAAGAACCAAGAAAGCAGATTCAGACGACACAAAATTGACCAAAAGAAAACAACTACCAGAGAGATAAACCCTACCCATAAACCACAAGGAATTAGACAAGACAGCCATAGCTGGGATTTATCATTTATCAGAAGCAATCCATCACAAGAAGAAGAAGAAGAAAAAAGCAGAAAGAGAAGAGCTCCTCCTCTATTTGTGCGACTTTCCAAAGGTCAAATTGCCAAACTTTCTCGAATTAAACCAATGACCCACCAGGGAAATCATAATACAATCCGTACTACAACAGTGACGGAAGAAGAAAATGGTGGATAAACTTGAATGAGTAGGGTTTGAGAGATTAGAAGATGATGAGCCGTTTCGTTTTACCTTCGTCTCTGTAAGCTCCACTCTGTCCCCCCTCTTCTCTTCTCTCTCTCTCCTCAGATTTCAACTTCCAATAATCTCTCAAATCATATTATAGTGGCGTACAAGTAGATCTCAGGGACGGCTTTATGAGAGAGAGCTGAAGCAGTAAGCCCCCGTAGACCAAAAAAAGGAAAGCAAACTTTTTCCTAATAAACAACAAGAAAAATGGTATTCTTTTTTATCTTTGCTTGCTAAAGAGAAGAAACGGATGAAGAGAGAGAAAGCTCAGTTCCTAGAGAAAGTTGTAGAAAAGAGAGAAGAGAAGGAGCCAAGCCAAGGACTGAAAGTGAAAAAACAAAAGGATAAATACAAAAAAGTTTGCATTTCGCAGAAGTGAAGAGGGGTATACCGTATAACTGGGTTTTGCCCTTTTCTCTCCATCCATTCATGCACATAAATATAGGTAATTATAGTTTCCATTAGACTTTGTTAATAATAAGTCATTGCTTTGCTCATGAGTAACCTATGTGAGATTAAGTGATCAACTTCAATGAAGTACTTAGCTTAGTATTTGCAAATTTGGACGGCTAATGTTTGCTAAGTTGATTATTAAGATCGATTCGATTAGTAAAAATAAAAATCGATTCGTACTTCCTATTTGGAGTGGCTTAAAAGGTATGAACTGAATTTTATTTCCACATTTTAATCAATTCCTACGTTTGGTGACTCATATTTAAGATGGTATTTCTGCATACCATCTTAAGACAAGGATTCAAGCTGTTGCAAAAGCTTCTAAACCCTTCATGATCAACAATTGATAGAGAGTATTCATGCTTGATGATTGCCCTTGCAAGTTCTTGTCGAGAATTCTGTTGTTCAAAGTTAAAGGAGAAAGTTGGAACCTTTTGTCCTTGTCCAAGTTGGCTTGCAAGAGTTGTTGCCTTAAATCTGTGCAAGCAGTGGCGGATCCAGGATTTTTTTGTAGGGGTGTCTTCTTCCAAAAATTAAATTAAATCAATAATTAAATAATTAAATTAAATAATACATAAATAATAAAATATCAAATTAGTACAAATGTTGACAAAAAGTCACGATGTGTTTTCATATTTCGAAAAGAATATAAGATAGATTTGGTGTCTACACTGCTCAACAAATCCGTTGATCTTACTATATCGCATATTCAATTTCTAACCTTTGTTCATGATGTAATTCAAAGTTGAAAAGACTGTTTCAACACTTGTAGTGTAACCATAAAATTAATTCAAATTAGGGACACCCCTGGGGATAAGAAATCGCGTTTTTACCATTACATAGTGTTTAAAATCGAACGACAAATGAGTTATAACCTAATGGAGAAGATGTTTAATAATAGGAGTGTCCTAGATTTGAATAACATAGAGTACCACCTATCTTTTTTTAAACATACACAAACTACTATCGATGGTAAGATAATCGTTTATTAAAATTGTGGGGGTGTCCCATATTACCAATTATATTTTGTTTATCCATACGAAACTACTATCAGGAATTGGATAATCATGTTCCCAAAATTTAGGGGTGTCCCGGGACACCCCTAAAGCACCATGTATCCGCCATTGTGTGCAAGTCCTCTTAGGGCATCTATGGTAGTGCTTTTTCAAGTGACTGGTCCCGTGTTGGCTCTCCATGCATCAACCTCTTGCAGTATTTGCACTTGGCCTTTTTCACTCCCCCAACTGTTACTCCATCATAATGTGCCCCACCACTAAGAGAAACTTCTGTTGTTACCACCCTTGGCATCCCCTCTTCTTGTACATGCTTAACCCCTCATTTGGATTTGGCTAAACCATCTTATTTGCATTTGGTTGATTGGCTTGATCTGCATTCGGAACACCAGGGGAAACTTCAACAATGTTTGGAGTTGGAGAAGCTGCTGGATTCGAGAGAGCAACATGGCTTGCAGTTGGTGGAGCTTCATTGGCTTGTCCTTGTTCAACCATGGATTGTGTTGCAAAAAAAAAACATTAATACGGTAAATCTGCTTATTGTATAGGCGAATGGAATCATTTAAATATCTAAGTCACTGTGAAATGGGATCAATTATCTACCCAGGCCCTAGAAAGAGTTCTTTTTTAGTTCAGAAGGAGTTCTTTTCGAGTCGAGGAGATGAGCAAATCAGCAAGCACCGATTCTGGAAATAGGGTTTGGATTGTGGTCTCTAACTCTCTGAATTCTGGAATATGGAGAAAAAGAATCAATTGTCTATTTATGCATTCTACGTAGGAACCCTAAGGGATTAAGAGTAGGAGACTAGTGAGCATTGGATTTACGAGATACATTTTATTGGAAAAGGTAAGCATTCGTAATGAATGAGTCTCTCTTCGTTTCAACAGGCATAGAAGATGAATCGCTCGACTTGGGAAGGTGCATGGCATGATGATTGATAAATGTGTTGGAGGGATTAGGGAATAGGGGATAGGAGATGAATTGATCGTCGGCGTCCTGTTAGTTGTAGGGAAAGAGAAGTAGAGTGGGGTGGGGATGGGGCGGCGATACGATAGTACCCAAGCTCGGCCTGGCCTGTCGGCGGGTCAGGCTGCCTCTGCTGGTTAATAGACGGGTCTGGTTTACACCTGAAATTGTATCATACTAGACAATGGGGAAGATGCTCGATATTGTGGCAAAACTTGGGTCACAAGTTTGGTGGTGCCTTTTACTTCAATTTCAAATATGGTTCAGTGAAGTGCAATGCGATCCACCAATTTGAACCCGCCTCGTCGGGTATTATCCGACTTTACCTTTATTGCGGCGGGTATTATCCGATCGTAGTAGCGTGGGACGGGACATGAGTTATTACTTTCGACTTGCCTCACCCCGTCATGCCTCATTCTTGACCCACCATATCTCAATTTTCTTCAATATTTATATATTTTTCTCCTATTTTAATAATAGGTTCACCAATGAAACGTAAAACAGGTGTCAACTTTCAATTATTTAGACTCAATTCTCATTCTATCATTACTAATTTTTATTCATGAAGTGTTTTCCTTGCTTTATCATAAAATATTTATCTTTTTGCGCTTTTCTTCAGACAACACGTGAGATTGTATTTACCTACTCTGCTTGTACCGGCAAGGGTGTTACCCGACCTGATTCGCGCTTGATGCAGAGCGAGTATGGGTATTAAGGTACCCGCCTCAGCCTACCCATTTGCCATCCCAATCGAATACACACTAATACCCACTCGGCACTCCTATTCTACGCTAGTGAATTGTCACACATGTCTTTTAATATAAATAAATGGTAGGTTTTCGTTCGTATTTCAAAGATTTTAATTGTTCTATTAAGGTATATTTGGATATGTGTATTTCAAATGCATCTATTTGCAATGAATCTATTTAAAATCATGAATTTGAAATGCATGTAAATCAAAATCATGGTCACGATACTCCTTTTAACTTTTTGGTATATAAGATTTTATGGGGAAACAATTCAAATTTGGATTTTATGGGTTTTTTCTTCTTTCCTCCTTTATGGAGTAGTCCTTCAAGGTACCTAAAACCCCCAATCCTAGAATTAGGTTTTGAATATATGTTTGTTTATGAATTTGTTTGTTTCAATGATTATATGTTTCATTTATGTTTGATTATGTTGGGGCTTGTTTCTCTAAACTCTTCTCTACTAGACTACAACTAGGGCTGGGAAAATAGACCAGACCGTTAGAAAAACCGTGGTCCAAACCGTACCGCACAGTTTGGTCCGGACCGTAGACCGTAAAGTATGGTCTGGTCTTGTCCATGGTCTGTATTATTTTTTGATTTGATCTCTTGGTCTGGTCTGGTCTACACCGCGGTTTACCGGACCAAACCGTAGACCCAACTGACTTGTCAATACGTGTTAACAACCCATTCGACCACTCTCCAAACTCCCACAACGACATCCAAGTCTCAACCTTAATTTTGTGAATCTCTTCCCTCCTTCATTCACAACCACATTTAACCACAGAGTAGAGATAATCGTGTCTCCATATGACATTATGTTAATGTTTATGACATTATGGTGCAAGCTGAGATGCTTTTACTTTGTATCTTTGTTATGTACTAAGATTTAGAGTATCAAAATTATTCATGCATGTTAGGATTAATGTTTTAAGGCAAATAAAAATTATTTTTCTTGGTTATTGGTTCAATTTTTTGTGTGGTTGACTAAACAAATTATTCATTTTTCGTTGAGTGTGGTCTATCTGGACCAGACCAGACCGAACCAGACCGCACAGGCGTGGTCTGGACCAGACCGTATAGTCTGTGGTCTATACTTTAGCCTCTCGGTCTGGACCGTAGACCGTATATATGGTCTGGTCTGGACCAGACCGCACCGTTTCCCAGCCCTAACTACAACTGAGTCTTAGAACTAGGTATGAGTTTTAGAGCTAAGCTGGATTTGAGTGCCTTAAGGCTAATTATAGGTAGATGAATGATCTTAGGGTTCCTTTTAGTATACAAGGACACTGTACACTGGAATGTATTTCCAAGACGACAATGCTAGAGATGATGCAAGCGCCATTGATCCATTGCTTTACCGTACAAATTGAGAGGAACTAAGCGATTATTCCTTAGAGCATCCACATTGGTATTGCATTCTCAATTGCAAAATGACATGGCATAAGTGTTTGCAATTGCAAAACCAATTGCATATTTACAAGCTTGCTACAAATGCAATTTCATATGCAAGTCAAAAAAGCCTAACAAAATGGGGATTTTATTTTTTGTATTATTTTCTTTTCTCTTTTACTTAATGGTGAATGAAATGAATGTTATGTGGATTGCAAAAAATTTGAGTTGGACAATAAAAAACACAAATGCAATTTCTTTTGCAATTGCATTGACGATTTGACGGAGATGCTCTTAGTAAATGAGCTTTGAATGAGCTTCCTGAGACGCCGTAAAACGAGGAGCACTGGAAGCAAAAGCCACGAAACTCCACCAACATTTCTTGTTATCGTCAAACGTAGGACAACAAGATGTTCTTCTTAATTAACTAGTTCAAACAAATACAGGCGAGAGCAATGATAATATAAGGTAGCTGCTCAAATGCCTTATAAAGCATATATCCCTGACAGTATCATATGGAGTACACAACGTGTTTGCAGGCCAAGTTTTGCTCAAATGGGAAAACACAATTCCGAACCATCACCACCAACATCCCACGAAGATCACATACACACCTTCATCAGCATACCAGAGGTACCCAGCACCTGCAAACGTTATTTCTGTTAGAATCGTCTGTCTCCGTTAGAATCGTCTGTCTCTTCATACGAAAGACGTTAATTAAACCCAACACCAAATAGCAAACACTGGTAAAGCACTTAGCCTCAAAATCAAATGCATCAATCCTAGCAGGCCTAAACCGAAGGGAAGAGGAGCAAAAAAGCCCACACAAATGCTCACATCAAGAACAAGTAGGCAGTAGCATCCAGAGGCAGAACCAAGGGACCTACGATTCCTTAATCATCTCAGTATAAAGACACTGCAAATAAGGTGGAACAATCAAATGAAGCTAATATTGCAAAGCATTATATCATCTCTAAAGGAAAATCCTTCCTCCTTCCTATCCCTCTATGGCTAGCTAAGCAATCTAATGTAACAAATAGTGGGGGATCCATCCAAGATCTGTGCTTGATAAACGACCCAAAAGACCCCAGTTCGGAAATCCGTACCAAATCAGAATGGTTACAATGTGTGGAATACACTGACCTAGTAACAAGGAAACGAGAACTCTTCAAGAGAACCATAAGCTCTGTAACATAACATCCTTTAAACTGGTGATAATAAGAGAGTAATATACAGAAAACAAATGTATGGCCATATTTCCAGATACTTGGAATATTGCTTGGTTTATTTCAACCCTCCAGCGTCATGGATCACCACCAACGACCAAAATCAAGCATATAGCCCAATTCACTAAACAGGAACTAGAGCTATTACCCAAATAAAAAGGAATTGGTGGGATGAAACTGAAACACAGCACCCTACTGATCCACCAATTTTCAAACCAAACACCATAACAAAGGGGAATTCAGCTATCAAAAGCTCCACATAAGAACCAAACAAAGCTCTAGCGGGACCAAAACTCACAAACATCACCAAGCCGTTCCCGTGTACTAGTCCAGAATTGCACGAAAATATTACGTCCAAACAAAGCAGGCTAACCAAACCAGAACTAAGAATTACAGAGAAAACAAGACCTAGGGAAGAACAAAGAAAGGAAAGGAAAAAAAAGGACCTTATTAGTTGTAGTAGAGCTCGAGGCCCATGCCGTCGTGAATCTCATAGTCGGCGAGAGTGATATGGTCCTTGTAGATGGTGTACCACTTCTGGATCCTTATCTTCTCCGCCTTGGTTCCAGTCTGCGCCGCCACCAGCTTCTTCAGGTCGCCGATGGTGTCATCCTCGTTGCACTTCACCCTCACCTTCTTCCCCAGCCTGTCGTTCAGCACCACCTCCAACATCTTCTTCTTTGCAGCTAACTTCCGACCTCGATTGATCGATTGATTGCACGCCAACGATCAACGGCAAAAAATCCAATTTCTTGCAGAACCCTAGCCCCCAATCTCGATTTCGTTGTAGCACGGAAGTCGCGTGATATATAAAAACGAACAGTCCACCGCCTTTACCAATCCGACAAGGACAGAAAGAATAAAAGACACGTGGCAGCGCGTAGAGCATATGGATAATTACGTAATATTAGGCCCGCAAACCATTCTCCTGGGCTGCAGCCCAGTTATATCTGAGTGTTTTGGCCCAGATATTCTAATAGTCCAAACGGACAGCTGGGCGTTGACTTGGGGAGGCTAGTAGCTGACGTGGTAGTCCACGTCAGGCAAAAAGAGTGACGAAGCGGAGAAAGGGACTCCAATTAAATTAGATTAATACCGACTCGACTCGCATCAGTAGAATCGGCGGAGGGAGGGATCAGAAGAATTTCAGTCCAGTTCCCTTTTTTTTTCTTCTATTCCACCCACGCAGAAACGGCGAATGACCGGCGAGTCGTAGCTGGAGAAGATAAACATGAGCCGGCCGACGGTGCACCCGGTGGAGCCGCCGCCGGCGAGGGATGTGGCCAACCACCACCAGTACCAACCGAGGGTGAGGATGAAGCAGGTTCAGGGCATGCCGGGGACGAGAGGCGGCCTCACTCTCCGCGCACTCCAGGTGGCCTTCGGCGTCGTTTCCGTCTCCTTCATGGCCACTACCAGCGACTTCCGCTCCGTCACCGCCTTCTGGTACCTCATTTCGACTCTGCCATTGGATTGAGTTCCATGTTTTTGTTTGTGGGCGAATTTGGAATTTTGGGGGGTGAGGAACTGAAATTGTGTTTTCTTTCCTCTTTTTTTTGTGGCTGCTGCTGCTGCTGCAGTTACTTAGTTATTGCTGTGAGCTTGCAAATACTATGGAGCTTGCTACTGGGGATTGTGGATGTGTATGCGCTTATGGTTAAAAGAAGCCTCGGGAAACCAGTGATGATTCGGTTCTTCGCCATTGGAGATGGGGTAACGACTCATTTCTATCCATTCCAAGCTTTCATCATTTCTTAAATTGACATCTAATCCTCACTACTTTACTTCCCCTGCTACTTGGGTTCCAATGTGTTGTTGAAATGTTGGCGTTGATTAATATTTGATGGTCACTTTCTTCTATGTTTTGGGCTTTTTTCTGGGACCGATATCAAAGGTGGTTATGCTTATTTTCTTTCCATTTTATGGAGCCTGAATTGCGTGCTGACCTTTTCCTATCGAACTCAAATGAAGTGTGAAGGAGCCATACATGAAACTATATAGTTTATGGTTCAACCTTGTTTGCAACTGTCAGCTGTCCTGCCATCCATGTTAGGAGAGGATGACTCGCTGTTCATGAGCTATCTTGCGTTGCTTGAACTTCATGTGGATTGTTTATTATAGGTCTAATATATTGCTACTTGGTTTAAGAAGGCCCGCGGTTGAATTATTTTAGATGCTTGAATTGCACCTAGCTGGTTTTTAACATTGTTGGATGCAGTTGAGTGTGAATAAATTTAATATGCATTCAATTGCTATGGAATGATTCGTGGTATATCTTCTTCCTGAACAGATAATGTCCACCCTTACATTTGCTGCTGCTTGTGCATCTGCTGGCATCACAGTGCTCATAGGTAACGACCTGAATAGGTGCTCGGTGAACCACTGCGTCAAGTTTGAAACAGCAATCTCTATGGCGTTTTTGAGCTGGTTTGCAACGATGCCATCCTTCCTCATGAATTTCTGGTCATTAGCAAATTCCCAGTAGGAATTTCTGGGCTAGAGAAAGTAGGATCTTGAAATGTGAATTGAAGAAGGTAAGACTCCATGGATATTTGATTGTGCTTGATGTATAGATAGATCGACCTTACTTCCGGTTCTCTTACTGTTGGAAAGGAAACCTCTTGATTTGGGAATTTATGAATATATCTTGTTACCATATTTGTTTGAAAGTTTCAGATTTTTGCCTGCAGCATGTGTTCCTCACTTTCAAATGATTTTCGTGTGAGCAATTTCAAAGGGTCTCTGACTTGTGATGAACAATGTCGGTATTCGTTATTGATTAGTTATTGAATCGGCAGTCCTTTTCACAGAGCTGGAGTGAAATACCACGCGAAAAGACACTGTGAGCAGAATGATGATTTGGAAGCTGTCAGAATAGTCATGCTTCTTACCCAGAAGCATCGGCCTTGTGCTGAAGTTGGGAATTTGAATCCTTCTAGATATGGATGGGTGTAAAAGAAGGGCGAATTTTGTTTGCAGAATGGCAACTTCAATGCAGTCAAAACTGCTAACTCGTTCTTGACGGCAATCTTTGACCCAATCTGATCAATTACCTTACATTCTACGAGTATGCTGAAACGCAGGGCTGCCATATTCCTAAGAACAATGCTGGAAAGCATAACTTACCTTGGGCACATTTCCACACTTGCTTATATTCGGCCAACTTTGATTGCCAAAAGAAAGAAGATATGGGAAGACCAAATCTTGACTTAGAAAATAGTTTGTGGTCACAAGGATTATGCTTATTTGCCTGCTTCTGCATGAAGACTGGACAAACCTCTTATTCAAACATAACGGTCTGTCTTGTTTCTCCATGGTCGGTTTGGATGGCAGTTGGGTAACCGCCAATCTGGTATCATAGAGATTTCTTGAAGCCATTACCAATCTCTTGCCTTCCTCCTTTTCCATCTTTTCATGTTCATCTCCACACCCTTTCCCCTACCTATAAATTGAACTAAAGGCCCTCAATCCTGAGGCTACACTACGGATTCAGGAAATTTTTTACGATGTCGAGAATAGACGATGACGAGAGAAGACTATATCAATGTGCAAGGAAGTACGAGCAGATTGTAAATCAAGTAAGTTGATGTCCATCCCAGAAAACCTTTTAGAGCTTCTTTCTCTTCGTCCCTCAGTTTTTTTTTTTTTACTTTGCTTCGGTAACAAGAAACTGAAAGTGGGTGGCTCCCCTGTGTTTTCCTTTTCGGTTTGACGTGCTGGTTGAGATGATGACCACCCGATCCAGGCCCCCTAAGCGACGTAGACTAACATCTGTGAGCCTCTGTCCCTTTCGTTTCATTCACCTCTTACCTTTCAGAACTGACTACTGAGCTGCCTTCCTTTCCATGTGATGAATGCATGCCTGGTTTTGTGTATACAGGGTTCCAAAGCAAGTAAGGACTCTGCTGCGCATCTTCCTTCTTATGAAGCTGCGGGCAACGACGGTGAAGTGTTCGTGGAGTCCATAACCAAGTTTCTCCATGAATTCAGCGCGGAATCTGCAGCAGAAACAGACTCCTCATCCAGCGCTAGCTTGCTCTAATCCATTACCCGCTGTTATTTGCAAGCGCAGGCATGGAGATAACATTGATAATGTAAATGAATTCACTCATCTCTCAGCGACAATGGAAAAATATATATATCAGTTTGGTTTTGCAGCAAACCTTGGTTCCTTACACAGACAAACAGCAAAAATTCCACCTAGGGGAATGACTATCATAAGTGTGCTCCACGCAGAGCCACCCAAGTAAACAGAATTTACTCAAGAACTGATTTACATTCTCTGGAGTAGAATAGGGCAACATAAATGTATGCAAAATGGACCAAATCTTCTGTTTCGTTGAGGTAGATCTTATAGATGGGGAAAGGGGGGAAACATCCCACAAAATACAAAGAACAAAGATTGTTCCGATTGCCCATTTACATCTCTCTCCGCTAGCCAGTTTAGTACCATGTAAGCCGTATCCCCAAGAACTACTACTCATTCACAAAGAGCTAGATTTGAGCAAAGTAATTACACAACATTGTCATGCTAAAAGCGCTGCTATGACCATTTGACTATAATCTTGTGTATCTCGAGCGACCACATTTTGATTTGCTTGCGGCCAGCTCCTTTTTCAGTAATTCCATACGTTCAATCAAGGCCATGTTTTCCTGTAAAGGAACAGAGAATTCAAACCACATAGAGAATTCACCGATTCAGACATTAAACAACCAGAAACTCAAGCTATTGAGGAAGACGTCATGAAGAGTAGTTCATGTTAGATGTATATAAGAGATGTTTCCTTCCCTATACACTGTTGAACTATATATCTTAAGTAATCCAGGTTATTTAACTTCAAAGCAACCATTCAGAAGTTATCTCCAAATTCATTTTTCAAGCTCACCTTCTGTAGCACTGCCAACTGCTGGTTTACACTAGCTGCATCGTCCACCTTCTGCTTGATCTGGCATAAGATGCACAAACAAATATTCAGTGAACACGAATGCTTCAAGTTTCAGCCCTTCCAGATTTAGCTGGGGCAAGCTCAAAATTGATTGTGACAAAGCACAGCATAAAACAGCAAAATGTGACTATCTCATCACAATCTTCTGCCCAACCACAACAAGAATCAAACTTCTCTTCTACATATAGCAAGCAACATAAGAAGACGACATCCTAACCACCTTAAAAATACCAACTTTTAGTAAATATTAAAAGATTCAGGTTATGAAGGGAACCTCTATCAATTCCTTGTCACACTTGGCTGCCCTCTCTGCCTCTTCATCATACTTCATCCTCCACTCAGCAGATTCGTCCATGGCTTCTCTATTGGCCAGATCGAATTGTCTTCTGTAGAATCCCAATGTTATTAAGCAAAGCAATCAAGTCATCATAAAGAGGAGCGAGCCACTACATATAAATGCTACCCACGTAGCAGTTTAATCCACCAACAAAGACACAGAGAAGAAGAGGTCCTGATGGAAAATGCTGATCAGAAATCAGTCAGCTTCTCTCACTGCAGACAATGTGCTCTACCTATACAGCCTTGGAAATTAGAATCGATCAAATGAAGGTCAATAAGCCTGCACTAGAGCTCACAGGCGAACTTATTTCAGATCTAACCTCTGAAGGTTTTCACAAGACAAGCTAAATTTAGGATTTTGGGGGCAATATCTGGTCACCAAAGGATTAAAAAGGACACCCAGTAAAAACGGACTGAGAACGGATAGCTTCTATTATCAACTCATTGAATTGAATCTGAACCGCTGCCCAAACATGCAGAGACATTAATGGGAATTTTGACTCTCTTCCGAAACGAAAACTCGGAAGCCAACAGAAATCAAACACTGTAAATGCAAATGGAAGAGCAGGCGAGCAGTACAAGCAACCAAATTTTTAGAAGGGGGAATCAATGGAGAAAATCAAAAACCTTATGAGCTCAGTGTCCTCGGAGGAAATCGCGTAGTCAATGGTCCAAAGCCTAAAGTAAACGGCAGTTCCCAAAAGCATTGCCACGATCAAACCGACCAGTATCCTTTTCCTCTCGCCGGCCATTCTTCTAGTTTCAACTGGGTCTCTCCCCGTCAAAGGATTTCTGTCTTCTCTCTCACCAAAAAGGGGATTTCTTGGTTTGTCTCTTCTCCGGCGGAGAAGAATCCATCTGAAACAAAAGGGGGAGCTTGCGTTACGAGGAGGACTGGTAGTAGCGATTAGCAAACAAGGAAAAGATGCCCACTCGGCGGTTGTCGTCGGGTTCGGGGCGGGTTTGATTGCAGATTGGATTGGACTCGGTGGCGGTGGGTGCGGGCTGCGGCTGTTTCTAATTCTCGGCCCTTCCTCGATCACATGGATCAGCCAGTCTTATGAATTTTTATATTGGGGCTTCAGATCATTACAGCTTTACTGGCCGGGAAACCCAACTAAATTATTCTCCTTTTCCATTATTAATCAGAACGGTCCACACAATTTGGGCAACATTATTATTTGTTGTTGGAATATTTGTTGACAACCACACCCATCGACCATGGAAAGGACTACAGTGATAATCAAGGTTCAATAGGCAGGCGTTGGGATTCTATCTAGTGTTTAGCATGCTTAAATGGTATTTAAGCAGTGCCTAACCATTTTAAGTGAACATAGTGTAAGGTATTTCAATATGCAAGTACGTGATTAGTGGTATTTATACACAATTACATACCGGAGATACAAGTATAGAAATATGGGTATGAGAAGGAATAGGAGACAACTAAGTACAAGAAATACGAATGTGATATGGACTAAGATTTCTCCCTAATGCGCGCCTGCAAGATGGAGGCGATATCAACAAGACCAATCTTGCAGCTAAGTAAACGAAACCAAGTAACAGGAAGCGTTTTGGTGAGTAAATTGGCAAGTTGAGAAGTAATCGGTAAATGACGAACAATAAGTTGTTTAGCATTGACAAGGTGATGGACAAAGTGATAATCGAGTGGGAAGGTCGGAGATGAGTTTCGGGACAACTGGAAGTCAACGAGCCAAAGAGTGGTGAAGAGGCAAATATCACCAGCTGGAGGTGAAGATCACGGCCTCAGGCTGTGAACATTGCAAGCAGAGTGTTATCTTCGCAAGATTCCAAGAGACTTGAGCCATTTCGGGGGCAGGTCTTAGATCATGGTCTCATACTGTGATCTTTACATGGAGAACGTGATCTTGGACACGAAATGTGACACTTTGGGTCGAGATCATGGCCTAGGTCTTGAGATAACGGTCATGATATTTGACCCATAATCTGGGCACTCGAGCAGTATAAAAAGGCAGGAGATTTTGGTTTAGGGAGGAGCTTGTTGTTTCCTTAGGCTTTCGACCCAAAACCCCCAAGAGGCGTTTCTAGAGATATAGGTCTATGAGGGTTCTTGAAGCTGATTTGGAGGTGTCAATCACCATTGGAGCTTGAAGATCATCCCCTAGAAGAAAAGGATGGAAGAATTTGAGCCTTGTATTGTAATATTTATCCTCTCTATGAACTAGACCTCTTCTCTTAGGTTGATGAACCCTAGTTCTAAATTTTGGTTTGATGTTGATGTATGCGAAAAATCTTATGTTGATTACTCATATTATATATATGATCGATGCTTATTATAAATTGCATTAGTGTTGATTCCATTTCATGACATTTGAGCTTTGACCTAGGAGGGAGAAAATCCCTTTTGACCCATTCTTGGCAATTAGGGTCACTCCTCGATCTATGTCATTTTGGGTTAATCTCCGAGGGAGTGAATTCGATTGATCTCCTAATGATATAGGATTTGGATTATATCCCTCTAGTGGAATAGAGCACCTTCAATCCTTCACTATGAGTCTTTGATGGCGAAGGCAATAAGGTCCACAGAGTCATTTTGGGTAGTGCCAAGTAGAGTTTGCCCAATCATGGGGAATTAGCGATTAACACCCTAATTGACTTCGCCATTGTTCGGTATGCCACTCCGGGTAGCGCAATTGGACTGGGTTGGATGTACTCGAATAGGGGGTCCAAACTAGTCTAGTATTCCTCGCGGTAGAGATATCGAGTCAAGCAATCTAGGATAGTGATCAACATCTATCCAAGTCACAGAACTAGAGTGATTCAAGCTAAGAGAGCTCTCAAGCATGTAATTAACTAGTATAGTGGTTAGGTTAGATTGGTTAGCTTAGTTTCTTAATCACTATTCTATGTTGGCAAGATAATGAAACGTAAGTCGAATCAAGGTACATCTAGAGACCAATGGTTTGATATTTTTATTACTTGCTTACCATATGCTACACCCGATCGTTGGTTATACTTGGCCTTCTATTGGAAAGTTGTAGTAAGAGCGAGTCAAGTTTTTGGCGTTGTTGTCGGGGACATTCTAGGTTATCAGGAAAAGGCTTAGGTCGTTATTTTAATCGTTTTGTATTTGTTGTGTTTTTTATGCACTCTTCGTCTTGAAGGGTGGTGGCTTAGTACATGCTGACACCGCCTATCTTGTTAATGGTGGTGCCAGAGTTCTCTTTTTAGGGGGTCGGGGCTTTGAGGTGCCAGAGTTCTCTTTATCTCATAGAAAAGTAAATAAAACTCATGATAGGACTGTTTAGGGGTAAACAAAGGGTAATTTGGTCATTTTCCATCTAATTTAATGGCCACTTAACAAATAATTAGATGAAAGCGTTAATTCGTTACCTTTCAATATTAGAAGAGTATGTTCGTGCAAAAATTCCGTAGAGTGTACGTTTGTTAATTTACAAAAGTAGTTAGATACAAAATGATATTAACTCATTTTCAATAGATATGTACTTTTGCTCTATATTTTATTACAAAAAAATAATAAATCAGTTATTTAGTAATTTACTTATCGTTATTTTTAGGGGTGAAAATAAATTTGTTTAGGGTGCGCCTATGGTGAGGATGGCAATGGGGCGGGTTTGGGGCAGGTTTGTCTAAACCATCCCCATCCCCATCTTCAAATATCCAAACCCATACCCGCCCCATACCTAAGCGGGGGAATGTTTGGCAAATCTATTCCCATACCCGTGGGTTTCGGATACCCATGGTAATACCCGTACCC